TGGGAAGGGGTGCCCTGGTGCAGGCTCCCTGCCTCAGCAGCACTGCCAAGAGCTGCTCAGGGCCACCAGCTCAGCGTGGCCCCCCTCAGAGAGCCCTTTCTGTCTCCTGACAGACTTGGTTGTGTTGCTTGTTAATGTCCCAGCATGCCCATGCAAAGAGCAATTAGCCTAAACCCATATGGTAATGGAAAGTAATAACACTAATCAAAATAAATTATGGGAGCTCTAGATTTTGAAATGATGAGCTTTATAAACTACAGCCATGACCACTGAAGATAACCTGATGGTGTATCCAAGGATCCACAGTCCTGTTTCTAGATTCTGTCTCAGGCAGTACATGTATCACTTTTACAACACACACAAAACTATTTAATGCTTACCCCAGAAGATTAAAACAGCTTCATCACAGTTTTTTGTTGGAAGCTCAGAGCAATTTTGAGAATGACCACTGAGATCTGATCCAAAAAAAATCAGAGAACTTCTTGGGAATTTTATGGAAACATTCTTTCCAGTGATAGAACATTTATTTTTGTGCCTAGACATTGAGGGAAACCCTCAATAGCTGAGCTAATCTTTTCTGGTATGCACATTTCTGACTATAGCCAGCTGTGTGCAGATACCTTCTAACATTAGAGTCAGAGCTGTGTCTTTATGCTGAGTCTTCAAAACAAATTTAGTCAAAAAAAGCAGGTGTAAGATTTTTGTGATGCTGAACTGTTTGAACTGAAAACACTTTTTTGTTAATTTGTTTTGAATAAGTTGGATCCATCTACCCACCACAGGGCTTAAATGGGTTTGTTTGCTCATTGTATTTATTTAGGCCTGGTGCCTTTGGGAGTAGGAGAAGGTGATAGTCCTCTCAAAGTAAACCTAACCAACATTTGTACTTCATAAATTTTAAGGCCAAGAGATAAAAGGCATTGTACTCATGTGGAATTTCCAGAGCCAGAGCATTTTCTTTACTTATTCAAGTCTTATACTGAGTCCAATCTCCTTAGCTGAATTTAGACTTCTTAAAGTAAAAATGAAAAGAGTACCTTAAACTAAGTTTTTTGTTTAAATACTCAATCAGAAATGATAGACTATGGTAATGACTAATTATCCTTAATGATTATAATTACCCTATTTCTAATCTAAATATGTTTGTCTCCATTTGTAGTTGAATGCATTCCTGAGTCATTTGCAAACTGTATCAGTTTCATCACCCTATTTTGGGGGCTGAAGGGGGAGGTCACTGTTAAAAACCACATTCTTCCTGCAGTGACTTTCCATTTATAGTTAGATTTTGTGACATATCGGTTCTCTGGCTTTTAACTCAATTTATGTGTGCCACACTTACTCTGTGTGTAGCTTTATGGTTTCATAACCCCAGCACCACAGAGCACCCAGCAGCCCAGTGGGATGACAAAGGGACTTGTGGCACCCAGGGGTGTCCTCCACTCCCCAGGTACCCCTCTGTGAGGGACAGCAGTCTGTGGCTTCTTTCTTTGCTCAAGGGAAAGGGCACAGTTTGGCTCTGAAATATACAGCTTTTGGGGTTTTATAATGGGTTTGAAAGGGGTGGTACAAACAAGGAGGCAACCAGGAGAATTGCTCTCCTGCACTTCATCAAAGGTGAGGACAATGAAAAAAATGGGCACTGACATTGTTATAGGTAGTGTGCTGATCCTCTGCTCAGTGTGTTTTGTAGTGATGTCAGTATCTCCCTGAGGAGCATTTGGGACATGCATGCGTGCTTATCTTCTGCTCAGTGTGTTTTGTAGTGATGTAGGGGGATACAATATCAGTAAATAAAGGTAGCATGGAAAGTAATCTTACCCCTTAAAGAGTTGCAGCTGAGCTAATTATTAAAGATTAGGAGCAGGCCTGAGTTTAACAGGCCCCAGCTGTAGCCAATTAGAAGAATGTTATAAAAGAGTGGATTGGTTGTTTGTGGGAGAACTGGAGTCAGTTGGCTGCTGTGAGGATGAGGAGGAGTCAGTGCCTGGAGGAGCTGCCTACGAGAAACATCAAGGAGGTACAAAACTCTAGTAATATGGAACCCTTGCAAAGTAACAACAATAGGACTCTTGCACTATAATGACAACAAATGGCTTATATTGTATCCCCCTACACAGTGATGTCAGTATCTCCCTGAGGAGTGTTTGGGATTTACATGTGTGCTCATCCTGTGCTCAGTGTGTTTTGTAGTAATGTCAGTATCTCCCTGGGATTTACATGTGTGCTCATCTTGTGCTCAGTGTGTTGTGTAGTGATGTCAGTATCTTCCTGAGGAGTGTTTGGGACCCCTGTGTGTGTGCTCTTTCAGGGAGTGCCTGTGAAATGCACTGCTACTCCATATACAGTGCCAGAGGGTGCTGCAGGTGCCCTCGCACAGGGTAATTTCTCATCACTGAGAGCTCATTGACACCTGTGGGCTTAGCCCTTCTCCCCAGGTGCAGGTGATAAGCTGGGATCTGGTGGACAAGCACAAGAGGGAGAGCCTCCCCAGCCCCAGGGAGCTGGGACATCAATGCCTTCCTACAGCTCAGTGCAGGACTCACTAGGAGTGTCTCTCTGAAAATGTGGTTCTTCCCAGGCACCTTGCTGGTTCTTTGGGAAGTTCCCCTCTGAGCTGACACTTCTAGCTGCACACAGAGGAGTCATCCAGGCTCAGCTTTCCCATCATCGTAAGGAGATTAAATGCAGCTCTTCCTCAGAGGATAATTGTGAGGAGAAATGCATTAAGGACATAGAAATGCCAGGGTATGAGGGGTATGTGAACACATATTGAGAAAGGCAGAAAAGCACATGTAACTGGGAGCTTATTGGAAAAGGACATTTCAAAGGAAAACAAGATTAGCACTGCATTAATAAGAAGTAGAAATATAAAGTAATTTTTGAATTTGTATGAAACCACAAGTCACTAGGAAACAGCTTGGTAGCTTCCAGCATGATTTCTTGTGCTTCTTTTTGAGTGTCCAGTTTGGACCAGTGGGGAAAGGAACTGAGCCAGGTGGATTAGGCATCACTTCCACATTAGCAATTCTTATTTTTCTGTCATTAATGACTGCATCTAGGAGAAATGTTTACTATTCAATTCCACATATATCTGTTTATTCTCCATGGAAAAATACTGTGACAAACCATCAAGAACTACATGGTGTACAGACATGTGACAAGCCTGGCTTTGTATCCTGCCTCTGCCATTTGTCAGTGTCATTTATTGTGCTGAGAGCAGCCCAGGCTCACCGCTGTTGTGCTTTCTGACTAGTTTGGTTGATCCTGCCTTTGAAGAAGAACCAGGGCTGGAGAAGGATAGCCCCACTTCTCCCATCTTCAGTGCTCTCATCAAATTTTACACGGCACCTGCTGATCAGTGTTTTTCCTTTCACTTCACTGCTCCCTTTTGTGTTTTTCAGGACAGCACCTGAAGGGTAGAGTTGACCTTGGCACTGCCTGCTCCTTCATGCAAACATTTTGTCATCTTTGAAATGCATTCTGTTCTGGAATCTAACAACACTGAAAACTTCCAGAGAATATCAAAATCATTTAGCTTTATCAAAACAGTAAATAGTTCCATCACCCACTGAAAGCAGACTTCCTCAAGTGACATAGTAATAAAGTAGAAATTCAGTTGCTGGGGCACTCTAGAAGTGAACATTTCCAAAGAGGAAGCTGGGAAACACTAGTTGTCAAGCTGTTGGGTTTATTACTTTTATTGCTTCTTATAGTTTTTACCTAGTCTTTCCTAAGGTGCTGCTGTAGATTCCTTGGGGTGAATGTTGCCAACTCTGCTATATATCTTGCAATTGGAAAAAAGAAGTTTCCTCAAGAATTGTGTCATTCATTATTTAATCTATTGAGTGATAATCCAAGTGTATGTGTATCTTTTCTAATCAAACACAGGAGACAGAGGAGATGTCAGATCACAATAAATTATACTGGACTGATGATGTATTTTATCTTGGGCAGCTCTTTGTGATGTGTACTGGACATTCAGAGTACCGAGTTAAAGAATGAGAGTCATAAAAGAGCCTTTTGCTATATTTCATTCTCTCACCTACTTAGTTGTGAATATAGATAAAGACAGTCTCACCAACTGATTCATTATTAAATGTCACTTAAGGTGACCAAAATTCTCATGGAATTTACATGGTTGCAGGGGCTGTGCTAAGGCTCTCTCCTTCCTCTGCAATGCACTAATACTGCTCTAGGCATTGGCTGTTACTCACCATCCTTCAGGAAATGTGTCCCCTCAAAGCATGGGAAAAGGAACATAGCCCTGAAGGGAAATATTTTAACTAAATGTCACCAGATACAAAATATTTCTTGTTTTGAGTGGTACTTAAATAGACAATTCTAGCCCTAAATGTAATAAGAAAAATATAATAATAGCAGCTTATATTTCCACAAGTTAACTTTTCTTAATATTAACATATCTTGACAATTGGCTTAGAATTCAAAGGTAGTGTAAAGGAAAATAAGATTGTCGACTATAGTACTCTGAAAGCAATTAGTAAATGTAATAGAACTCATATTCTTTCAAAACAAAACCCCCTTCCTCACTCCAAGGTTACAGTAATATTAGCTACAATACAGATTGGTAGGCACTGCTTTGGCTCCCAACTAACCTCCCCTAATGGGATTTGAAAACATGCTCTTATCAGCATAATATCCCTCTCTAAAATTAAATCTGATGCACCTGGAGATGGTGAATGCAGAGGAAGATGGTGTTTCCCTCGGGTAGCAGAGCTGAGCCTTTCTCCTTCGTGCTGGGTACCAGGTTTAGATAACACTGACACACTTGGTCATCTGGGGACTGTGACAAGAAATATTTGGTACCAATAAGAGAAATTGATTGCTGGGAAAAAGAGAGAAATGGGTCCTAAATGTGAAATAACATCTTTGCATGCGTCTGAGATCCTGGTGTAGTGCTACTGTGTGAGTGACTGAAGCATAATTGTTAATACCCTGTTGATTTGGGAGAATTAATGTATTTTTCCACTATCTTTTTACAGCTCCCAAGTCTACCTTTTGTCCCACTGAAGAGACCTGGTGGCCAGGCCTGATTATTATCATTGCAGTATGCTGTGCCACACTAGTGTTCCTCTTTGTAGTTGTCATCATTTGCTACAAAGCCATAAAAAGGTAAGGCTCCAGAAGCTTTTACTGTGCTTAGGGCAGGGCAGGCTCACAGAACCTGACCCAAGGCTTGTCTCATGGTATCTTGTTTAGTTTAAAGGCCCAAGAATTGTCTCATGGTATCTTGTTTAGTTTAAAGGCATCCAAAAGGCAAAATGCATCCTGTAGCCAGTGTGTGTTTTCATCGGAAAGTCACTTCACGTACCATATCCTGCATGTGTAAAGGTTGTAGTTCAATGCACTCATGGGCATAAGGAAGGGAAACACTAGAAACAGGACAGAGCTACATTGTTCAGATTAATAACAACTTGCCCAAAGACAAATTGCTGCAGGTTGCTGGTGAACGTGGAGAGCTTTGGCTTGGCCAAGAGTAGAGGTAGGAAACACTGTATTACTTGTATTTGAACACTACTTCTGGTAATGATCAAAATTTACATGTGGCATGGGAGATTCTTTGCCCAGGTCCATTACTAATTTTAGCATTTCAAATTAATGTAAACTCTCATAACTCAAAATCTACGGTAATAGGTGTAGTTTTTCATTTGGAGACTGTACTTCTAATTTATTCTTGCCTCAAAATTATAACCTACAGATGAAATTCAAAACCATTTTCTCTTAGTGTAAAAGCCTCTGTGAAGCCTATGTACAACAGTGTGTAGTGGCCATTTCAGCCCACTGTCTTTGCAATAGCTGCACTTGCCTAGGCCTCAAGTAGTTAAGAAATATTGACTTCAGCTACACAGAAAAATATGAGTGAAAATAATTTCTTAAATAAAAATTTATGTTTCTGGTGGAAAAGGCCAAAACTTTAACATCTCCATTTTAAGATTCCAAATGCAAGTCCAAAGGGTTGATTCAGAAGAGAAAGTAATTTGTGGGAATTGTAGGCCAGATGGATGAAGGTTCATTTCTCCTCTATTGTATTTAGTATGACTCTGACAATATCCCACATCTGAGTGTTTGTTGTGTCACAGTTTTATACTGTGAGGGTCTTGGCTGGGAGCTATTGGTACATCCAGGTGACCCACCCTGCAGTAGAGAATGCAGGATTCCCATCCACGGCTCTCATGAGACACTGCAGTGACATCTGAATCTCAGCTTGGATTAAATGACAGCTTTTTTGAACTACCTGATTTCTGAGTGAGAATATTTTGGAGTGAGGGGAAAAAGGAAAATAAGTAAAAATACTTTTCATGAAAAATATTATGTGCATGGAACATGATTGCAAGATTTTTGTTGAGCCTTGGTGGAGATATCACAATGGTGGAGCATTGGATGTGTCTTGTGGTTGTTGAAAAATTTATGCAGGATTTGGAAGAGCATCAAAAAGGGAGAATTCCAGCAAGAAGAGAAAGTCTCTATTTTAGATCTTATTAAATTTGCATAAGTATTTTTGCTATTCTAGTTTAGCTAAAATGAATGTTCATTATTTTGGGGGAGCTGGACAGCTTTCACTCTAGCAACTGCACTTGAAAAATTATCTTTGGAGGACTCAGATTGGCAGTGCAAAGTCTCACACTTCTCACACTCACCAGTAGTTTTTGGTTTACCATTGCTGCTCATTTGTATTTGTCAATTTGTACCCACTGCCAAATTGTGAATGATTTGTGTCAAGGCTGCAAAGTATCTGTATGAGAGCAGAAACTCTCCAGGGCAACTTGTGCCTCACGAGGAATTGATTTTCAAATCTACTGTGATGCTGGTAGATAGGAGCAATGGATGGGAGGAACAGAAATTAAATTAAAAGAGACAAATTTAGAGCTGTCTTGCAAAGGTTTGGGGAATTCACATACAGTCTCACGCTTTGTTTCAGTGCAAAGTAATACTGATTCTTGATGAGGACACCCATTATTTGTCAAGAGTATGAATACCAACCTACAAGTCAGCTGCTTGAACAGGCATTAGGCTCAGAAAAGAGTGAAAATTCCTCTTAGATCTTCTTATTTTTGACATTCACACTGCTGACAAACGCTAAGCTGAAAACTGCTCAGATGTGGAATGGACAGCTATGAAAGAAAATCGTATTAATTATAATTTTACAGGGCAACTAGAGCATTTCTTTTCATCAATGAGTCCTTGCTAAGACAGTTCTGCTAAAAGAATGCCCTGAAGGGCCTGGCAGCATTCCCCAGTAGTTCAGGTTTCTTGATCCACTGTAAAAGATATCTGTCAATATATGCTGGGTATAAGATCAGATGCTTCACAAGAAAAGCATCTCTGGCTTCCACACAGTATTATTACATATCATTGAGCTGAATTGGCTTTAGCTAATGTGAGAAATCCTTCCCTCTTGTTTTTTGCTGGAAGGTTGAAGTGACTAGAGAAAGAGAAGGGGATTAGTCTGGGTGGTGCAAAAGCCAAGAGTTCCTCCTGTGTGTTCCCAGCTCTGGGCCCCATAACCATGCTCTGCCCTGTCCTTCCTCATCCCCAGCTCTCCTCTGCCCTTCTCCTCCTGGGCCCTCCTTCCTGCACATCTCCTGCAACTGGGACCTCTGTCACTGCAGCGCCTCTGACAAATCTGTCTCCTCCCTCCACTGAAGAGGTGCTGAGGAGTGAAGTTACAGCAGTCCTCTGGTTGTAGGGTGTGACAAGGGTTAAAGGCTTTAGTAGCAAAGTGCGGGCAGGGATTTTTTTGCATTGAGTCTGGCTTTGTAGTATTAATCCCTCACTTTCATAAGAATCAAATTTGGAGTAAAAAGAAAAAGAAAAATCCTATTGTGCTTAAGTTGAAATCTCATTTACTGGTTTCAAAGGGCCAGACCCAGTCAAAGTCTCTTATGTCTGCTTTTCTGTAGCAAGAAGAGAGGCAGTGACCTCGAGGTATCATAACTCAACTGTGTTTTTATTCAATCTATATATAAACTGTGTCTTCTAGGGTAGTCTGTTTTCCCTCATAAAAGCTAAAACTTCAATGTATCACCAACTTTAGGCACTAAAGTGATTTGTAATAAAATGCAGCCTCATGGATTGGTGCTTCTTTGTATATAATAACTACCAGAACCAAGAAAATACACTTCTACCTCCATTTCTGGAAATACTCAGGTTCTTCCTGAAATACTGGACATACTCAGGTTCTTCCATATGACATGGTCCTAAGAAATGCTGAAATCCATCCCAGTGAATGGATTTGACCTCTCTGGTCTGTGAGGGAACTTTGACCAAGTTACATCCATCAACTTTAATACTCTGATGGGTTGAACTTTGGGAAGATACATATGAAGTGACAATTCAAAGGTGCTTCAAGCAACTTCTAAATTTCCTCTCTGTGTGGCTGGTGACTGCAGCACTGGACATACATGACTGGCACATAAGGTACAGATGTGTGCTGCTGCATGGATCTAGCACCAGGGGAGATATTGTGTTGGGCTGCAGCATGGCTACATGATGAAAGCACCCTCAGTTTGGCAGTAGAGAAATAGCTGTTTTCTATGGTCTTGGTGTTAGAGGGTTATTTCCACTTTTTTAAAAAATTTAGATTTTCTTTTAAGAATCTTTTCCATAGCACATCAGAAAAAAAATAGCGATAGTCAGTTAGCACCATCTGTGACATTTGTAGATTTTTAGGACAGTCTTAATCACTGTCAGAGGCTCAGCCTCAATGTAAGCTGTGGGACTTTTCCATACATTTCATGGATAAAAAAAGTGATCTCACAACCAGTGATTTCTGTAACACATAGAAAGAGCAGATGAATAACTGCTTCAAAATCTAGAATGCTTCCAAGTCATTCTCTACCATGTCTTTGTGAAAACCTGCCATTCTCACTCTTTCCCCAAAGACTGTAATCAAGAAGTAAAAGCAGGAGGTCTAAAGACAATCCATAAACTAACACAGGGTGGAGAAAACCAGATTATTTCAGTATTATGTGGGTTTTTGGTTTGGGAATGTGCACCGTGAATGCCAGCAGCTCTAAGAAACCTTCATCTGGTGTAAATCAATGCAGATCCAAAAACAATCAGTGGAATTCAATTGATTTTAATCAGCTCTAGAGGTGACTGTCTCTTAAGCTTTTTTTTTAACATCTGCAAGTACCTGAATCTAAGGTACCTAAGACACTAAGACTAGAGGGAAGAGGGAAGTAACACAGTAAAGAGGATTAACGAGAGTAGTTTGGTAAATAAGCAAGTGAGATGGGGGAGAGCGGGACATGCAGTGTGTAATCCTATTTCTGCAGCTCACTGGTGTGTCAGTGTCTGTGAGGGGAGTAAGATATTTACATAAAAGGGAAAAATAAATCCCTGGCTCCCTGTATAAAATTAAGATAACAGAGCCATCTGTCAAACCTCGAAGGGGAAAGCAAAGCTGAGCATCCTGGTCTTTATGACAAGTGATGTGCCACCTATTCAGCCTGTCAGAGAGTGTTTCAGATGGCTTTCAAACATGTGAAAAATATATTCTCAGTATCTCTGGAACATCCCTGTAGTCTGAGATGACCCATGAGCAGGTCACTGTGCCTGGTGATGTGGCTCCTTGGTTCTGCTGGATTTCAGGTAGGATGGATCCATCTGTTCTCAGATGTACTGCAGGGTTTGCTGCCAAAGAGCCCTCCTGCTAGACCAGCAGGGAAAGTGGGCTGATGGTAGCCAAGCTTTACATGATATACCTTTTATCCACTGTTCTAACTTTGTGAAGCCACTTTTATATGTTTCTCATAGTCTGAGAAAAAGGTGCCACAAATGCCTACATAGGCACTTCCTTAAGGAGGTGCTGAGTTCATCTTCAAATAATAATTAAATGGAAGAAAATATTGTACTGAAATAAAATGACAGGTCATATTTAAACTGTCTTAAAATTCATTGCTCAGGTATTTTTAGGGTGCTTATCATTTGTGTATGATTTATGGCCCCTGTATACTGCATAGTTTCAGAAGCAGGAGCTAGGTTCTGAAATTTGGCTTTCTTTAACAAGATACCTGCAAGGGGAAGACACTGAGACTTTCTAAGGAGGCCAAGAACTGGCAGTGGGGGCTGTGGTGATGGTGCCCCATGGTGGGATTTATGTCCCACTA